CATTATCATTGTTTCATTTGGTTGGGTTTTATTCTGTTTTGTCTTGTTTGATTTTATTAGGGCAGCTATTTCAAAGATAACAAGATATATAATGGGAGCCATTTTGGATTTACTGTTGTTTTTAAGTCCTTTATTGCTTCTATTCTGTTCTGTTTTGATTGATTTTACTGTCTTATGGCCATGGGCGACTACATTTTCAGAATGGGGGGGGTGGTACCAGAGATGGACCTCATGACCTTGCGCTTACCAGGCAAGCACTTGGCCTGCTGAGATAAATGCCTCGTTCTGGGAGGCTATTTTGAAGACAATAAGAGGCATTACGGTGATCATTGTTGAATTATTATCTTGTTTTGAAATCCTGTGTCACACTGTTTTGTTTTGATTGGCTTCATTCTGATTTATTGTTTGATTTTATTCTTTAAAATAAAAATTACAAATTTTTTTTTAAAAACCCCAAACCAAAAACCAATACCACAGCAAGCAACATGCCATAGGTTTGCCACCACTGATATAGGTTACATAACTTGCAGCATCTCCAATCACAAATCACACTTTAGTATCACATTTTGAACATAAATGCTTGCTTGCACATGTATTTCGTTTTTACCTTCTTTTTTTTCCTGCCTGCCATCACCTCACAAGACAAATTATGGAAAATGCAATGAAAGAACCCAAGGGTTTTCCTTATGATCTCACCCCTGTTTCTCAACTCTCAGGTGACTGCCTCTTGAGGCGCCCTGCACTTTATACAAGACAGTTTCAGTAAAAAGGGATGTGGGTGAAGAGAAAATGCTTATTTGTGTGCAGTCATAGTAGTAAGGGTGGGGAACGGCTAGAAAATGCTTTGTGACAGTCAAGCATGATTTTAATCCAATTAGTAACCCTAGCATGAGCAGAGACAGATTTTTGTAATATTATACACAGGAACTTCCAAGTAATGCCATGGTAACTACAAAACAGAACAATGAGGGCCGTGCGACTGCTTCCTGGAGTATGCGCGTCATATTCAAAGTCCCGGCACTTCCACCTGGAATTAGGTCTTTTGAGTGTGTGTGTCTATGTGCATATATGTGCACATCTATTTATATATTTACAGTATGTATTACATGTATATTTTGCATTTTATTTGTGAAACAAATATTTTAAGAAAAGGGCTACATATAGCAGTTCTCTCGGAATATGCATGTTTATAGCCTCCTTTCTTTGTGACAGACCTGGAAAAGCAGTTGCTGGAAATGCTAACATCTGGCTAAAGGTTATTTATATTCAAGAAAAACATGTTGAAGATTAGAAGCAAATGAAATAGGTATGCTCTGAACTGCAGGTTGAGAATTTTATTTCATTAGGGACATGGTGGAATTAAAATGTGTATTTCATCTATCCCAAAGACAGCCCAACACTCGCAAAGAAAACAAATGGAAGAGGGAAATGCAGACAACTTACACGCAAACAGAAACAGATCAATGAACATCTATATGCTTTAAAACCTTAAAATGTAAATTAAATTGAAATAAGTATTTATTATCAAAATTAGAAAATATTTTTTGAAAGACTGTGTTCATTTTAAGAAAGGATGTTCTCAGATACTTATCTTCTGCTGGTAGGATAAACTGGTATAATCTTTCCCAGAGGTGAGTTTGACAATGTATTTCAAAGGTTCTTTATATTTTTAGCTCCTCTTTATTCTCTAAACAGTACAGTATAACAACTACATAGCATTTATGTTGTATTAGTATAATACATAATTTAGAGCTGATTCAAAATATAGAGGAAGATGTGTGTAAATACTATGCCATATCCAATAAGGGTCTTGGAACAATTACAGATTTTGTCATCCAGAAGAGGTCCTAGAACGAGCCCCTTGCAGATACTGAAGGACTACTGTAAGTGTTCATACTTGCATGTGATTTATCAGACTTTAAATTTGGTAGGAATACTCCCAAACTAGGTAGAATTCTGTAAGGATTATTTAGTATGCTGGATATTCAGAAAGCTATAGTATACTAAGTTTTTTTAAAATAGCTACTTACAGGATTTATTTTCAGGAAATAACCCTGAGTGGATAAGGTCTTAGACACAAGTAGTTATCACAGCATTAATGATACAGAAAAACTGGGAATGATGGAACAGATTAGAGAACCTATCGACAAATCTAACTACAAGTCAAAATCATGCTAATATGTAAGAGGTACTAATTTATATCCTTAGAACATAAACAAAAATTTGGAAAATGGCTACCTAGAAAAAGAGATGTGATCCATTACTTGTTACATAATAAAAATAAGCTCAAATGGTTTAGATAGGCATAGTAAAACACAAACTATTTACTAAAAACCAATCAAACCATGAAATCTTTCTAACTTACAGGTAGGGCAAGCCTTTTTGCCACTCAAAATTCAAAGTCAATAATAAAAAATAATAAAAAAGACTGACAGTATATTCTCTAAAATAGCTTGCTTTGAGAAAACAACATCATACAAATAGACTCAAAAAGACATGTAGCAAATTAGGCAAATATTTACAAAGTATATCACAGATAATAACAAATGTCCACAATATATGAAAAAACTTTAAAAAATGAGTATAAAAGGTCAAGTATTCTATTGAGAAATAAGCAAAATATGAATAGGTAGTTCATAAAAGGATTGATAAAGTGATCCTTAGACACAGGAAAACAACTATTTTACTCTAGGGAAATGCTCACTGAAACTGTGCTAAAATACTATTCTTCACCCATCAGACAGGCAAAAGCTGACAAGTGTAAGAGTAAGCTGTGTTGACAAGTCTACGTGAAACAGGACAGAGGGAATGAAAGACAGGTCAGTTACCCACTTCCTATGAAGGAAAAGTTGGCAGCCACAAATATTTGTTATCTTTAATTTGGTAATCTTCACTTCTAGAATTTATTCATATGAAATACCATTAGTCATAGCAAAAGTACACACAAAATTATTTATTACAACATTCTACATATTAAAAACAAAATTAAATTAATATGGATAGAAAGCATAAATGCAAAATCTAAATGAACGAAATTATTTCAAATAAAATGACATGAAAGAATTAAAAAACAAGTAATCTCTGAACACAGCACATAACTATTGGCTCTTAGTCTGAGAGGATCTTTAAGCATTTTCCCATTTGGTTTTCTAGTTCTTTGCCTCAAACCTCCTCCTCTTCTATGCCTGTGAGATCAGCCTAGGAGACATAATTTTTCTGAGGCCTCTTACTGCCCAGTTTTCTTCCCTGTTGAATGCTGCAGGTAAGTCGGGCTAGAAAGCTCTGCCACTACAGGAGAAATCCCAGGGGTGGACATGAAAGATGGCACAGAAGCCTAATGAACACGTGAAGGTGGACCCCAGACTATGTTGAAGGGTTATCTCTTTCTCCAAAAGGCACCCATAAAATCTTAATTTGCCCTTACTTGCATGTAGAGGATTTTAAAGGTGTAATAATGCACACTTTTGTATTCTTTCAAAATCTTTATCACATACTGCATTTCAGAGTAAAGACAGTAAAGTATTTCACTCTTTCACACACAGCATTTCCTACCTAGCCTCACAAACAGGAGACAGCAGCATCCTGCTGGAATCCAGCCTGCAGACAGCAGAGGGCGCTGCCATACAAAGCACCCACCTTCCTCCTCCTCCTGCATCTATCTGCTCAACCAGGAATTACTACTTTAAAAGAGGCCAGGAACTTGGGAGACTGTCTTATGCACCAGAACTATGCTCAAATCTCTGAGGATACAAAAGGACATATTTTAACTGATAAAATGAAGCTTGATTCATAAATTATGAAAAGAGAATCTATGGCTTTTACAGAATCTTTTCTCTAATTATATTAAAGGATGATGCCTTTTAATGTGTACTACAAACACATACTAATGAAATAAAAATTTAAAAAAGATTGTGAATGAAAAGAAAACAGTGAACGAAGTATAGCAGAATGCTGCTGTCATGGCGTTTCTGTACAACAGCATAGTGTAAACTCATTTTAAGACAGAAAGTAATATTAGCAAGTCGATACTGCACTGTGTATGTATCCACAGTATCACTGAAACTTATCTATTAATAGGGGAAACAACAAGGAGATAAAACAGTTACTGCTCAGGGCAGAACATGACCAACAGTGCTAGAGTTTGCCTGTGTCCTGTGCAGCTGCTCCAGCTTAGCAGGGTTCTAGTGTTCTTCCTCCCATCCTGGGGCCTCACCCCTTCTGCCTCCCAAAGGCTGAAGGTTGTGAGGTGGGGCACTGGAGTTCTCTAAAATGCTAATGCCAAAGAAGTCTCAAGAACAGGAATACCTTTAGATTTTAGATACTTTCATTCCTATGTAGCTCAGCTTTAAATAGGGAAAGTAATTTTAGAGACCAAAGAGCTGCTGGTCCCAAAGAACTTCTCTCACTGGATTTGCTTGTGTGTTGTCTTTCATCCTGTAATTCCCTTTGCAGCTCAGCCTGTCCTCTGACTAACTGACAGCAATACTCCTGCCTCAGGCTCCCCAGTGTAGGGACCTCAGTGGTGTGCAACCACACCCATCTAACTTTATGTCCTAAATCTGCCCTAAAGCTTAAGAAAGTAGCTATGACTCACACAGGGAGATGTGAAACAAACTCAGGAAGGCTCTTCTCTTGGCCAAAGGGCAGTACAGCAGCCTCTTTTTCTCCATTCTCTTTTTTCCCCCAATATACATCTTTGGTATAATCCTTCTGTATTTTCAAGTTCCATACATTTCCTTAATTTTCCTCCCCAAGGGCTCTGCTCATGTGGACTTGAGTTACTCAAGATCACTGTGCTCTCAACTTTTTCTTCAGTGGATGGTGAGAGCCACAGTTTTTACCCTAACCACAAATGATCTATTTTAACAACTGACCAAAAGAAAACACTCACTCATTATTTATTCTGTTTAGGAATATATAAAACAGCGACATCCTGGCACAAAAAGAAATCTGAGCAGATAGCAATCTATTCACGGGAGACACAAGGACTCTAATCCTACCTGAAGTCACAGGCTGTGGTTAACTCCGCGCCTCCACCCAGGGCTCGGCCCTGCACCAGGGCCACGCTTATTAAAGGAAGCCTGCGTGTGGGAGGAAAGGGCTGTTAACAGTTTTGGCTTCAATACTGATTTACAAATGTAATTTTGAAAGTCTTGAATTACAGTGCAAATACAACTATTATACGGTGTTCGTAAGTAACATGTATCAAACAATAGTGGAGCCTGAAGCTGTGAAAAACCCTAAGCTGAAAAACAGCACAGTACTAAAAATACACTAATTCATACTAAATGCCATGTAAGTTCGAGTGAGGTTTTATTGCTTTTTTTCTTGGTACTGAGAATAGACCCCAAGGCCTTCCTCGTGAGCTACGCCTCCGCATTTCCTGCTGTGTTTTATTATGAGACAGAGTCTTGGCACATTGCGAAGTTGCTAGGCTGGGCCTGAAGGTGCAATACTGCCTCTGCCTCACATACTGCTTGGGGTACAGGTGTCACCAGCACTAGACCCAACAATGTTTACACTGAATGCATATTCAAACTTCATTCCCAAGACACATGCTTTTAAATAACATAAATCCTGGAGCCTGTTAGCAAGTAACAATCCAGAAGAACTGAATGTAATATTGTCTTCATCTGTTTTTATTCATCTTTGGCTAAGGGTAGGAAAATTAAGGATAGACCCAAAGGAAGATGTGGACCTAATGGCAGAACCCCAAAGCTATGAATTGAAGGGTCCTATGAATAGGGCAATCCTATGTTCAGGCATTATTTTAAAAATAAATTTCTTCATTTTATTTGGAAAGACCCAATTTGTGAGCATATGCAAATACTAGAGGGTAAATATACAGTGTTTTAAAAGGACGCTTCTTCTAATCCAAATATAAAGTTGCAAGTCTAATACAGATGAATATTTAATACACACTGGCTGCATATAGAAGGGACAATCTAAAAAATAACGTGGGAACCTCTTGCCTCAGCCCCTGAAGAGCCAAGATTCCAGGTGTGCACTTAAAAATAAAGGGGCTGGAGATGTAGCTCAGTGGTATAGCATCTCCAGATTCAGTCTCTAGTGACACACAAAATCAAATAAACAAGCAAACAAAAAATAGAACAGCTACTCAGATTTATCTAAGAAGTTAAGTCTTAATAGAGGACGCAAATGAACATGTACTAGAATAACAAAATAGTATTTTACACTGAAATGTTATGATTCTACTGCTCTTTCTAGACTAACAGGTATAAGTCCCAAAATACAGTCATCTAAATTTCTTTAGTTCTTATAATTGTAGAGTGTCTACATGCAGGATAAGAAATTAGAAACTAACCAAAACCTGCAGCAGTTTGAAATACTGGAATTGTAAAGAAAAAATTTTCTCATTTTTTTCTTATCTCGATGCAAAATAAATCCACCTTTCTTAGAAAGCCGTAAGAGACTCTTCAATCCATTGCTGGTTTCCCACCGCCTCTGGACACAGTCCACTACAACACATGGTCCTGGAATTCTCAATACCAAGTCACTCTGTCCCGAACTTCCTGGCTGGTGTCCTTATTCTGCTCTAATGTGTGACATCAAAGTGTGACTGCCTGGTGATTGCCCCTGAAGACAGTCCCAGGAACTCCTTGAGGAAATTCTTTTCCTCCCTCCTTTCTATTGTGAATGAAATACTTGTGTATCCTTTGCTAAAATTCAATTAAATGATTGTTCTCTATAGCAAAAAAAATAATGCAGCATTGGAATATATGTATATAACTTAAAAATCAACTGTCATTTTCTAGTTAGTGTAAATAATAAAGTGATACAGAACTACTTTTGGTCTTTTAGAAATCATACGTCTTTTAAAAAGATACATTACCTTGTAAATCTTGTTAAGGTGTTCTGCATGAACATACATAAAGCCATTCCATCCTTTAAATAAAAATAGGCATAAATACAAAGATATAATGCACTTGTACAAAATAACATTTTTAAGTTGAGATTTCAGAAAGTAATGAAGACAAAAACACGTATCTAGTTTTACAAGTTCATTTACAAGTGTCTGATGCTGTGTGAAACACAAAGGACACTGCATTTGACTCTGCTTGCATATACAAAGGCTCCCTGGCTCAGCTAGGCATGAGGTGCAGCAGAGAGGCAGGCAGGACAGTCGATTGCAAGGTGAGGATAGAGTGGAGCTGCACTGGAGAAATAGTGGGGAGAAGGGTGCTGAGTTACTGCCACACAGACAGACACACGAAAGAAGGAAGGAAGGCAGGAGGAGAGAAGGTGTGTTGTAACAAGCTTTGAATTTCTGTACTTCCTATGCATCTACGCATCTCTACAAATGAACGCATTTCTTCTTAAAAGGAACCCAAACACACTGCCTACTCTTTTCAACTCAGGTTTTCTGAAACGCGTGTAATTTGGCCTTCAGCCTTCTTCCAAAAGATTTCCCTTGAACATTTCTAATATTAAGCTTGCATATTAAATCGATTTCCCTCGAATATTTCTAATATTAAGCTTGCAAATTAAACCATTTCTCTATTTTCCCCGTCTTGTTCTTGCTCGCTCTAACAGGCAGTGCCTTTGACAGTTTCTTCATTCTGTTCCTCTAGCTTAGTTTGTAATGAGATTTTAAACCCTTGATTCTCTTACTGAGTTTTCCTTTCTAGGTTTCCTCCTTGGTTTCTCTTATTTACTGAATCCCCTAATGCATTTACTGTTAACAAGCGAATCCATGCTTCTCGTTGTCCTAAGCACAGCTCCTTCCCTGTAGTGAGCGGATGAAGCTGGAGATCGGTCATCCACACAGTGTGCCAAGGTAAACTCCATGAACAAGCTGCTCCAGTCCAGAGAACACCAGGCACCCAAGGCACACCAAGCACACAGGCTGGTAGGCAGGTGGTACCACATGACATCCAACTGCCAAAGTATAAATAAATGCGCTGTGGTCCTTGAGCAGTTTCTTTGCTCCAATCTGGACAGAGGGCACCACCTGACTTCAGCTTTCTGCTCCCTGACTCTTCCCTTCATTCTCCACCACTTCGCCCCAAGAATTTCCAGAGCTGCGCTGGAAGAGGCACTTTCTTGCAAGTGTCACCCACTGTTCCCCTTTGACTGTGCCTTTCCTGTGAAGCACTAAAACCTTCCTCAATTTTCACACCCTGCCAGCACCTCCAACTCAGCTCAGCAAAGCCAGCTGGCCAGAAAGAGGCTGAGTGCAAATGGCAGTGTTATCGCTTACTAGCAGCATGAAGGAGAACATGTAAGTAGCACTGGCTCTGAATTCATAGAGTGAGGAATGACTGCTGATTTAAATCTAAATTAGAAAGATACAATTATAGGCCAGGTGTGGTGGTGCATGCCTGTAATCCCAGCTCAGGAGGCTAAGATGGGAGGATCACTTCAAGTTCCAGGCCAGCCAGGGCTACATAGTGAGTTCAGGGCCAGCCTGAACTACACAGCAAAACCTTGTCTCAAAAAATGGGAGAAAAAAAGAGAAAGATATAAATGTGCCCCCAAGAGGGGAATGGAGGAGATAGGAGGTCAAGGGACAAAGGAGGGTATTGTCCTGAAGCTAGAGTAAGACTCTTGAAGGTGTCTAACCCGCCAGACTGTTCCTGAGGCCTCATGCCCACTCGCTGGAAATCAGCAGTTTTCATCTCCCTGTATCCTGTAGGTGGTCTCTGCTTCCTCCCTCTAAAAGGAGAACTGTTACAGCATACAGAACACCTGTGGCATCATATCCAATTTTTTCTTTCTTCTTTCTTTCTTTCTTTAAGGCTGGTCCTGAACTTGCAACTATCCTCTTGCCTCAGCCTCCTGAGCGCTGGGATTACTCACATGCACCACCACTTCCAGCTGAAATCCTAATTTTATAACTGAATTATAATCACACTTTTAAACATTGCATTCTTTTCCACTCCCTGTATATTTTCAGGGTGAATTGAGAGTTTTGCTAGTCACCTCCTGGACTCTGCCTTCTCAACCAAGAATTGTGTCACAGAAGCAGGGGCAGTTCTGTTCTTGCTCATCAGGACTAAAAACACCAGAAAGAAGCCAACTGCTTAGGAGACCAGTTGCAAAGAAACAGACCTGCAGTGAAAGCCAAGCGACCACCACAGGACGTGGAGCAGTGCAGATGCTGCTCTGGCACACAGGGCTCTCACTGTGTTAGGCTCCGTCTTGTTGATCTTTGGTAACTATCATTAATAAGCATTTTCCAATATCTGAAAAATCACAGTGGCAAAAACACTGACATAATTATTTTTTTAAAAATCCATGTAATCATCAATTTCAAGCATTTTGCCACAGCTGGAGGGGAATGTAATTGAATTACTAAAATCATCATGCAGACCAAGTACAGCAGCCTTCTGAAAACAAAGCAAATTCTCCCAATAGCAGAGGCCGGTGAGGCATCTGTGACTAGAGAGTCCACATGTGGAGTAAAGAGGAGCCACGGGAGAGGAAATCTGCAGGGAGGCGACAGTGGGGAGCGCGGAATGTGTGGCGGGGAGGGACAGCTCAGGGGGACTGGGTCCCCTAACTCCAAGGCCATCCACGATTCTCACCCAGTTATGGCCAACTGTAGTCTGCATGAAGCCTGGCTTGTAGGCTCTGCATGCATGCACCGTACCCTTTCTGCTTCGTGCTAATTTAAAAGTCACCTTGAGATAAATGTATCCTCTGTACATAGGACTATGTATTTCAGTGTAGTAAGGCTCTGATTTTATTGTCCTTTCACACTCTTAGATACGATCATGAATATTAACATACAGTGATGACCAATTATTAAGTATGTTTAATAAATATGAATTTCCTTAGTGTTCACAATTCTACACTGTCTCTATTCAGAATATGAAACTAGACATCTAATTATCCAGAATGGCACACACTTCCTAACGCCACGTGCACAGGAGAGTGTCTCCCTCTTCCTCCTCATCTAGCTGTGAGGTAAATCCTTCTCTTAGCCACAGTAAAGCATCATTGCCAGTTCATCACCTGTGACAGACCTAAGGCAGCACAGTGATACACGGCACTGGGTGTGGGGTAGGTATATGGAGCTCTCTGCTATGGGTGTAGTTTTCTTGTAAATCCAACCAACACTACTCGAAAATTTAAAAATTCATTTTAAAAAATTTAACAGACACAGAGAAGAGACAGTGGGAGCTGAGGAGAACTAACAGGATCAACACTCACAGCATGAGACAGAGACAGAGAGGGAGAGATAGAGGCAGACAGAAAGAGAGACAGACAGAGAAAGAGAGAGAGAGAGAGAGAGAGAGAGACAGAAAGAGAGAGAATGAATCCCATTCTGCAAAAGCAGCAACCCAGCTGAGAGAGCACTGCTAAGCCGAGGAGGAGCTGTGTCCAAGCACTCACAACAGTGATCCTCACAGGCGGCCTACGGCACAGACCTAAAGCATCATTTGTTCCCTACATCCCTCTCCTTAAGGCTCTTTACACTTCCTCCAGACACCAAGGACCACAGCCCTGCTGCTTCAGAGGCCAAAGATTCAGTCATGCTAATAACTACATAGGCAGAACAGAAACCCTGCAGTCCAGACTCCTGCTTGGCCTGCGCACCTTAAGGCAGTGTAACCCACAAGGCCTCACCTCTGGAGTGGCCAGGGCTTTCACGGCATTCAGGTCAGACCCTGAAGAGAAAGTGTTTTTGGCTCCACGGACAATGACTCCTTTCCCTGCTGTCCAATTTTCCAGTTCAATCACTTTTTCCAAAAGTTGTAGCATCATGACACCTACCAGGGAACGAAGGGCAAAATCACAAACTCAAAAAAGTCTGAGATTGAAAAGCAGAAATCACACAGACACTATAATCAGTCAAGTCTCAGGTCAAGTCTTTTACAAATAGTTACTAATGCTTTTCAGAAAAATGCCTGCTGTGCTGGCCCAATGGGGTACACAAGAGGAACCTATGACAGTCCCTGCTTTAAAAGTTTAAGCTTGTCAGTGTCTGCATTTCTCTACTTACCTTAAAGATGCACGTAAATTTATGCTTACACAGAAAAATAAAAATGCACCATACATATCTTACATATCTTAGAGGTAGGGAAACTGGACTGGACCACATGGGATATGGTGATAAGGAAAAATTATTTCTTAGGGTAAAGAAAAAACACAGATCAAACTTTATAGTAAGATACACTCGATGTCTCAGTCAACATGAATTTGTTCAACTACTAACTTTATGGATCTTATAATGCTTATGGGATCTTACAATAGAGTGCACAGAATAAAGTGACATTCCTAGCTTGTTCGTACTGGAAGTACAATGACAGCATGTCAGTTCACAAAAGGGGCAGTAAACACCCTGTTCCAAGATATCAAGTGGCTCTAAAGCCCAAAGGGCCATTACAGAAGTGATTCATCAGACTACTAGTAAGTCTACAATTTATGTATCAGATTGTTACCTTGAGATCACCTCAAATTCTATTCAAGCTTCCTTATAAGCAGACAAATTTAAAACAGGAACAGTAGGGACTATGATTTTTAAATTGCTGTCAGTATGTCTTCCAAGTTCCCACGGTTCATAACATTTTCAATGTGGTTTATTTTCCACTGTTAGGAAATGCTTCAGAAGCCAATATAACAAGCATGGGGGGAATGAAATTTGCAGTGTTAGTTTCTAAAACTTACTCTTATGCCCAATTAAACTACGTAAACTAAATGTTGGAAAACAAATCCCACAAAGTCAAGAACTTTTATTTTCTTTGCCTTTTAAAAATAACCAGTAGGTATACGGTTCTACAATAAATGGTCATTGGCTACACAATGACTAATACAGCCAATTAACCTTCCCAACTGCTAATTATGACTGTAATCAAAATGTCTTAAAACTTCTCCAAAAATGTCTTACATAATTTAGAAATATAGGTCTTCTCTTTCTTTTTCTTTTTTGTCTTTTTAAGACAGGGTCTCTCTATGCAGTTCAGGCTTGCCTCGAGCTCACCCTGTAGCCTAGGCTGGTCTCGAACTCACAATGATTCTCCTGCATGAGTCTCCGGAGTAATGGGATTACAGGCGTGAGCCACCAAGCCCGACAGAAATATAGATCTTGTTCTGAAGCGATTTTCAGTTTAGCAAGGAAACCAAAAGACATACATTTAAAGAAATATGGACCTTTAATTATGTACATTTCAGTTTCTAAAAAGTAAAGGTGGGTTTGGGCACTAGAAAGTCTGTACTAGTAGTTAATCTTAAACTCATTTTTTCAATTTGTACAGTCAACCTTGACAGCTGGAGGAAACCTTACAGAGAATCTGATGGGGTATTCTTTAAATAAGAGTTTTGGGGCTCACTCCTCTTGTCCCCACTCAGTCTAACCAAGTGTGTTTACCCACAGCCCAGCAACTCTGATTTTACTAATTTTAGGGGTTACTATTGGTTTTCATTTGAATAAAAGGTTATGGGCTGGGGACACAGCTCAGCAGCACAGCGCCTGCCTGGCAAGTAGAGGCCCTGAGTTTGGCTCCTGGTACCAAAAAGAAAAAGTATTACTAGTAACTATTCAGTAGTAAATTACAACTGATCTAATTTAAGCATCTAGGATAGTCTTCCCACTCTTACCTTTTGAAATTTATTTTATCGGGGATAATGGTAAAATTGGAGTTTATTCCCTAAACTAATCGAAGGTATGAGCAACCCTGTCTACTAAAGTAGTCACTAATCAGGTGCAGCTACTGAGCAACTGAAGGGTGCCTAACACGCAGATGTGCAATGAGCTGAATAACAGGTTTCAAGACTTAGTATGAAAATAAAATGAAACAAATCTCATTTATAATAGTTTACAGCAGTCACTTCTTGAGTAATATTTTGGATGTGCTGTGTTAAATTAAATTAAATTAAATTAAAATGCACAGTTAAAATTAACTGTTTCTTCTTTTTAAATGGTGGCCACTAGAATATCTAAAATTACATGTGTGGATCACATTTGTGTCTCACATTATAATTTTATTGCTCAGCACTCATATAGAGAAATATCTCTGAAATCTGATTAAGAAGAAAAATTGTCTTTGAAATACTTCTGGCAATTTACGAAGTTAACAGTTTAATGAATTATGTCTGTAGGTACCAGTACACTTAAGTTAGACACCTAAAATTTACTGCAATATCTGAGTCCAGCATTTCAAATGTTACCAAAGAAAATAATGTACTCTTGCCATGAAGCATGTAACCGGCAAGTAGAAATTATCAGCATTGCTTCAGGTATGAAGGATGAGGGTTGGAAAGCTACTTATAACTCTTGTGTAAAACGGTAGCATGATTCAAATTTGAGCCTCAGCAAAAGTGACAAATGACGATAGACCCTGGCTCTTCAGGTTCTTTAAGGATAAAATTCTTTCCATGCTAAGAGACTTGACTAGAAAATCCAAGGTGTTTGCTATCGGGAACGAGTCAACAAATATTAAGTGCCATGTTCCCATCCCAGGAATGAGTTCTAGTTTCTACAGCACTATATTTGACTATAGGTTATAATCATTATATCTTGAAAAGTACATGGAAGAGACACGTTTGAAGCCTTTCAAGACAAAGAAATGTTAACATCTCATGATGTGATCAGTATTCATGGTGCACATGTATCAAAGTATAAATATATGATTACATATGCCAATTAAAACTGACAAAGAAAGCTAAAAAATAGAAAGAGAATCTTTCTTTTTAGTAAAAGAAATTTTAGGGGCAAAAAGAGGACAACTAACAATGACAGCCTTAAGTCAATTCATAGAAAAAATGTTGAATAATTTTTATGTACAGGTTTTTCTCTTTAGTTTCAGAGAAATGTCTGAAACCTCCTTTTGTTTCCAAATAGCATTAGCTGAAAACAAAGTTTTTATGCTGTGAATAAATTTCAAGGCAAACACAGTTAAGATCGATTTAAGTGCATCCTTTTTATCAACATCCAAATTCATGAATTTTTTAAAAGCATTAAAATAGTACTAATTAGTAAAAGTGTTTCCAGTTCACATTACAGAGTACTGTTTGGTGTGAATTCTGTGAGCACTGCCAAGACTGGGCAGGATTCCGTCACCAGGGCAAGGACTAAATCCACGAGACAGCAGGTAAAATTCAGTGTCATTCTTTATCTAGGAAAAGAAAGATCTCGCCTACCTGAGAAGGCGTTCATCTTACTGGGGTTGTTCAGAGTAAGGATGCCAATGCCACTGTCATCTTTCTGAAGATCGACGGACCCACCAGGAAACTGCTGGAGTGTTTTCTTCACCTCCTCCTCATGGAAGCCATGAAAGGTATTATACAGAGATAAGCCTACTTGATGGAGTACTTTTGTCCTTGAAGATGGAGATGTTTTTAAAAGACTGTTTGCCATTTCTGGAAAAGAGAAGCACACAGTTGTTCAGGGTAGTAGACCTGTGTTACTAGGCACAGAGAACCATGGCCTTTATCCACAGTCCCAGCTACTCCAGATGCTGAGGAAAGAAAGCCATGTGAGCCCAAGAGTATGGGAAGAGCGTGGACAAAAAAGAAAATGAAAATGAAACAAAATTATCCTTTCAGAATACAATCAATGAGGAGTTGCTTGTCTTGCACACTCTCTTAAACCAAATAATTCACAAAGTATATCATTTCAGGACATCACTGAGAGAGAATGAAAAAACGATGGTGCACATACCGGGAATGAACAGCCAGGAAGGCTGCTAGAGCATGTGCTGCTGCCCCAGCCCTCACAGCACTGCACAAAGTAGGCAGGCTGCCTCACAACCCGACACTCTTTCTCATGACGGTACTTCTCTACCTGGCAACCTTTGCTTTTTCAAAGACTAACTGTAATTTAGCCCAGTTAGCCCAGATGTCCCCTGGTGACAGTTTTTAGGCAGAATGCCACAAGAACAATCTCACAATCAGATTTGATGCTCAGCATTGTCCTTGCCTTCTGCAATACTCACATGCAAAAAGCTGGAAAGAGTCTTAGGAAAATGGGGAAAAAAGATAAGAATGTGTTTGGATTTCATCTTCTTCAAAGTTCTGTTACTCTCCTTTCTTTATATTCACAAGCTGAGTAACCTTATTTCTGCCCATTAGTTTTTTTTGCCCTATGTGAATATTTTTGAGATGAAAGTTACATTCACAAAGCATATAAAATGTAACAGATTTGCATTTTATGTTCAATGAATTCTGACAAGAAGAAAACATTTTAGTAAGTTACCTCCAAATCAAGAGACAGAGTATAATCTGAATTTCCAGAGATCCCTCAAGCCACCTTTTGGTTGCAACATGTCAGGGGAAATGACCACCTTGCATTCTAACACTCAAGACTAGTTTGCCTGCTTTAGAAATGTACACCAATTAAATAATATAGTCTTTTATGTTTGGTTTCACCTCTAGGGTTTTTTTTGTGTGTGTGTGCTGTTTTTTGTTTTAGTCTTTTTGAGACAAGGTCTCACTATGCAGTTCAGGCTAGCCTTGGGCTCACTTTGTGGTCCAGGATGGTCTCAAACTTGCAAATGCTTTTTCTGCCTCAGCCTTCCAAGTGCTGGGACAGGAGTGTGTCACCAAGCCCGGCTATGTTTTTTGTTTTTTTTTTTCGTTTGTTTGTTTGTTTTAACATGCATTATTGTGATCACATGTGAAAAAAAGAGTCTGAATAGTCCACTATTTTTCATTCCCGTATTCATTTACAGTAATACACAACAATCTATTCTAATGTTAACAACATTCAGGTTATTTTCAATTTTTGGCCTTACAAATAGAGTTTCTATAAATACTTTTGGCATGTGTCCTTTGGGCAATATGGATGCATTTTGGTTCATATATATCTAGCACTCGAACAGCTGATTAGGTATGCTGCAGTCTGGCATGCACAAATGGTTAAATAGTGAAGAATTCTGCAAGTTGGTTTTTTTTTAAACCAATGGTATCTTCAAACTGGTCAGTGTGAAAATTCTTATTCGTTTTTTCTCTCACTTATACATGCACAGAGTCAAATGACCAAACACCCTCAGTCATAGAAGATCTGGGTAAAAAGTTTTCCAGAATAGTCAGACCAGTGTGCATCCTCACAGTGAATGTCACTGTTCCTTTACAACCTTATCACTTCCCATTGTGTTTTCTATTTCATTCTACTGTAAGGTAACATTATGGTCTTATTTTATATTTCTATGATACACAGTGAAGATAACACCCATTTTTATACGTTCATGGGTCACCTGCAAATAATTTTTAGGTAAAAGTATCTGTTCAAACATTTTGTTTATTTTTTCTAGTTCCCTTTTTATTACTGATTTTACTGATGACTGACCTATTGGGAGATCTTTCACTCTTCTGCCCATAGCTTTCCTAAAAAGTGTAACTTTTATCACATTTTTATCTCCAATTCAAAATGTACTCCTGGATATCCTTATAATCCAAATAGGATATTACAATTTTAAGGTTTCCAGCGAGCAAGTCTAAAGCTATCTTTGATTTTGCTGGTATTTAAATCTTGCCTCTCTTTTTCTCATGACATTTCTATGCAATGTACATGGGGTTCAATTAACCAGGTCCCACAGATTTACCATCGTATTTTGTATCATTTCATTTTTCCTAGAAAATCCTTTCCTCCCCCACTGACCTGCAAAACTCCCAATCATCTTTAAAAACTGAATTCCTAAGTTTCCACCTAAAAATGATTTCCTCCATAGAAACACTCAGCCTTTATTTATCCTAGCCCATGATATTGTTGTGGTCCATTTAACACGTTCCATATGTCAGTTTAATTTTATTGTTCATTTTTTTTTCTCAGTAGAAGCACATTTTCTGCAAATTCTCTTGAGATACACACACTGTTTTACCAGACCCTAGTAAAGTATTCCATGTATAAAAGTTATTTACCAACAGGTTAATGGAGGAAAATATGGAGAAAGTATAGCCAAATGGAAACACATGAACTTGCTGTAAAGCTATGAAAATATAAAACAGTATTAGAAAGAAGGTTCAATACACTATTATTTATTTTAAATTGCTTTACCTTCAAGTGACATTTTTGGCAAAGTGTCTCAGCACAACACTCAGTCCTATTTAAGGAACTAAGAATACAAAGTAGGACGCAATCTCTCCAACAGATGCACTTACAAGTATTATCTTCTAAGGTGATTTCTGAACACGATATTGATGAGATCAAAGTATTTCTTAAATCTCAAGATGACTTAATAAATATATACAATATTAGATAGTATATTCTATAATGTATTTTAGATAGTTTAAAGACAAAGTCACTATATTCTTAGAAAACAATATCCAAGAATAAGCGTAGTAGTAAAACACTTGATTGGTGTTACTTTTCAAAAAAAAAAATCAGCATTCTTAACTTGCCACCCTGTCTTATGATGGGCCAACAGCCAAAAGTGAGTACTTGATGTTACTTTTCCAAGAAAAAGGAAGTGATCTAACTTGCCACCCTAAATCCTATGATGGAATCTGCTTTCAACGTACATAATTTTATTCTTTCCTGCAATGACACAATCTTTACAGATTTACTCTGTATTCTTGCTCCCTTCAAAAAAATCACTAGCTGTCTGTGGCTGTGGTATGGAGTCAAAAATACTGAAAGTACTATGTGACCCATTTCAAATTCTGTTTATGAGTGAATCAACATGGTAAACAGAACTGCTGACCAACCAAGGAAAGTAGTTAAAGCCTAAAATTGTAAAACATCTAAATATTTAGTTATTTTGAGTATCTTAACCTTTGCCAATTCTAGACTCCTTTTCAAAATCCATGGAGTACCTCACTTGTATAAATCTTCTCATCCCATCATCAGTTTTAGCTACAAAATCTGAAAAGGTGACAGACAAGGCATTTACTGATTCTGTCGGTACAACCTGACTTTAAGGTGCCTAAAGCCTCTTGAAGACCCAGAAGGCTACAAGGAATGACTATCAAAGGTGGCCATCCAACACTATACAATATTACCCACAGATTCTGCTGGCCTGGGGCTTAGCTATCTGTAACATGACATTTGCTCTACTTGGTACTGGACCCAGAGAAAAACTTATCTCTCAAGAGTAACTTCTATATTCTTCTTCTCACTCCAGAGATAAACCTCCCACTCCCTTTTGGCAAGTGCAAGCCTTCTCCAATCGCAAGACTCCACAACCACTCAAGCCTCTACCCTCACCCTCTAATAAATCTGTCTGCTCTTTTGCACAGGCAGATGCTCCTTCAAATCAGCTTCTAATATGTCATTCTTCCCAACTCCCAAACTCTTCTCTCAACCAAAACTGATAAAAGTAGTTCCACTTCTTCGTTCCCACTGAGAGCACCCCGACACCCGCCTTTCTGCAGCCTCTGCTGTGCCTACATTAAAGGCCTCTCTAATCGTTGTCTTCTGTCTCACTTTCTCTGTATCGCCCTAGATAGAATGCCAAAAGTAATCAATTACTACATTACATACTTAATAATAAATTAATAAGTAAACAAATGACTCACTTGATTTTTCTGCAAGTATTTTTTTCACTCATTGAAAAAAAATCTCTTTAACCAGGACAGTTCCATTCCCAAATTACAGCCTAGTTCAAAGAGCTATTTTCTTGATTTTCCAGGGGAAGTAAAATGTCTGACTATGAAAAGGAGGCACTTCAGAAATTATGGCCAAGATTTAGTGAACACAGTTAGAAAATCGCTACACTAGTTAAATGCAAAGACAAGTCCTTTGTTCAGAGCTCTGTTGTGTTCAAGCACATAGAACAGTGCTGTTAAATATTTCAGATCATTTTTAAGATACTTCAGTTTATTCTTAGATGCTGCATAGTAACCAAGTCTCTTTATTCACACCATTGAAGCATGAATCTTTGCATCCAATCTGATAGAAAATGAGCATATTTAAAATAATGGCCCTGTCATGCTTGAGCACCACCCAAAGAATGAACATGAAGAAAAATAAATTAATAAAGGCAGAATATTCAAGTCTATGAGAAACATAATTACCAATTAGCAGTATGAAGTTCCTCTGAAAAAAAAGCCCCAAGGTTTCTGAAGGCTTCTTCAGTAATTATCTACATGTAAATAATAAGTAGTCCCAAGATCTCCTATACTTTGGGTTTCTCTGTGGAAGAAATGTAAACTAAACATTTCAGAGCTATGTAGAAATGAAAGCAATGAGTTCTTGCAACAACTTAGCTAACCAGACCTATATTCTCACGACAGGATTTATCTAAAGTTTGCTTATAAGCTCTGTTGTGATCATAACTCCCATTCCCATCCATTATTGGTTTCTTTTTCAGTTCTACTTTTACTCTACCTAGACCCAGTTCTATAGTCAAGGTCACGGGAAAAATAGGAAATTATGTCAAACCACATCATTGAAAGGAAGTTCTGAAGCTTTCTGTGCTTTTTTAAAGACAAACTCTGAAGAAAGATAAACTAGACTAATATTGAAATATTTGAAAAATGGATAGTATTCTTTATTAGATTATTTCAAGCACATAATGGCTATAAGTTTACCTACATTTAAAAAAATAAAGACCGGGGCTGGGGATTTAGCTCAGCAGCATAAGCGCCTGCCTTGCAAGCAGGCAGTTGTGAGTTCGATCCCTGGTACCGATAAAAATGAAAAAGACCCCCCCCCCAAAAAAAAAAGAAAGAAAAAATAAAAAAATAAAGACCTAATTAGTTGCTAAGCACATGGGACAGAAGGAAACTATACTTCTGAATAGGGTTTTATGGCTAAGAAATTCATATAATGGAATCTAAGAATATAGACACATGTAGTTGCTAAGGGATTATTTTATAGCAATTCAAAGGGATGAATTCCTATTTTGGAGAGAAATACATCATCTTTACACTAAATAAAACCTTCAGTATCATCAAGGAAAAAATACGTATAACATAAAGCAAAACAATTCAAATACAACTGGTCCTTCATACTCACAGGTTTTGCAGTCGAGTCAACACCAGATGGAAAAGAAAATTATATCTGGACTGAACATGTGGGGTTTTTTTGTGGTCATTCCCTAAACAATATAGTTTAACTATTTATACAACATTTACATAGTATTAGGCATTATAAGTAATATAGGCTTACGCCTAGGCTATGCATAGATTATATGCAAATATTGTACCATTTTACACAAGGGACTGTGGTATCCATAAGGGTTTTACAATTTTTACAAATTTTTTTTTTTTTTTTGTCTTTTTCCTTTTTATCGGTACCGGAGATTGAACTCACGACTGTCTGCTTGCAAGGCAGGTGCTTATGCCGCTGAGCTAAATCCCCAGCCCCTTTACAATCAATTTGAGGAACTACTTTCTAATTGAAAATAGTTTCTCCTTTTATTAAGCTCCATCAGAGATTTGCATTAAAAAGGGTCTTTTTTCCCTACCAGTAAAATTTTTATTATGTAGTCTAACATTCTACAGGTATGAGTAACCTGAAATATCAGTAACTTCATAGACTATGCTACTTTTTTGTTTCTAAATTTTGGAGTTCAAATAATACAAAAATAAAATCAAGCAACATACCAGTTCTACTGGGTCTACAGAGGAATAACATAAGGAAAACCAATTCAAATCATCTTTTTAAAAATTGTTTTGGTTATTTCCATTTGGCTAAGCTAGTAGTAGATGGAAACTTTAAGATACTCTAGCTCTGCAGTTTTCAGAGTATCACTTCTTCAAAAGATGATGTTGGAATTAACGTACTACAGCATTAAAATGACATAGTCCTAAACCCCTACCCAGAAACAAATTTAGAAAACAAACAAACATGAGGCCACATGATGATTGGAATATGTTTGTACTTTCAAAAATTCACTGATAAATACTTCTGTGGAACAGATGAGAAGTGTGGCTTCTGGGAGAAAACTGAGTCCTATGGGCTCTGCATTCATCCTTAGGGTTAGGTGTCCTTACAAGGGGACTTGGTGGAGTCTGTCCCTCATGCCCTTCTGTCCTCTATCATGTGACAGCACAGCGTTCCTCACCCATGAAGCAGAAGCAAGGGAGGCACCATCTCAGAAGCACAAGACAGCCCTCAGCAGATGCTGGCAGATGATCTTGGATTCCTCAGCCTCCAGAACAAGTTCTGCAGTTTTTGTTTGTTTTTAAGACAAAGCCACCGTATTTTGCCCTCAACTCCTAGACTCAAATGAGCTTCCTGCCTCAGCTGATTAAATGGCTGGGATTACAAGTGTATGTTACATGCTGGGGCAATTTCTGTTTTTTATAAACTACCCAATATTGTTCTGATATTGTAAGAACATAGGATAGACTAAGTGAGTCCCTTAACTCCATTACCAAATTGATTAAAACTTTTACAATTAAATCTGTGAAACTAAATGATACAGAACGTGATTATCATTGTACTGGTATCATGGCATCATTGCTTAATGATGAGATTTACATTTACAACACGGAAAAAAATTACTTCACTGTCAGGCTTCTAAGAAATGCAAGTCTAAGAAGTGTGACTGTGTGTCTCAGGTGTCACAGTTGTTGGCCAAAGATAGTTATCCTTATAACCAGGCCTCTGTCTGCCTGCCACAGGGCCACTGCTGGTCCTAGGTTCCTGCATTTCTGCTCCCTTTCAGAAAGGAGGACAAAGATTTCCTGTATGGTTTTTTTTTAACGCTAACACACTCGATGTATCCAACATGGCCTCTTTCCCCTCGCCCTCCAGTTTTCTACTCCTCAGGTGTTCTTCTAGCCTAGGGGAAAATCTGTTCTCAAGGTTACTCACCAGCTCAGTTCACAAAGCTGGAAGGCCTACATAAAGAGCCAAACACAGACTCCGCAGCAGCTTGTTTTTAATGTGGACGCTATGCTCTACATGTTTTACTCAGGGGATAATCAGACACGGAGAGCCAACTAAATGGAGAAAAGTAATCAGGGCAGAGTTGCTGCTCTTCTCCACACTGATCATGACTTCAAACAAAAATGGAAAAGAAACCTGATAAAGGCCTAGCTGGCTACTTAGAAAACTAAATTTGCCTGTGTGTCATAATGCTCTATTTAGGGAACAGAACAAAGAATTGAACAAGAAAATAAAGAGGAACGCCTTATAAACTCATCAGTATTTTAATTATCACTGTGGAATAACAATGAACAACTTATTTCTGGTCTCATTTGTACAGGATCTGTCTATACTATAGCAATTAGGATGAACGTTATCAGCTTTTCATCTACTTATTAAATCATTAAACACTTATCAACATAATAATAATCTTTTGCCACATTAGACATCTTTGTTTTTTTTTTTTTTTTTTTTTTTGGTCTTTTTTCCTTTTTATCGGTACTGGGGATCGAATTCACAACTACTTGCTTGCAAGGCAGGTGCTTATGCCGCTGAGCTAAATCCCCAGCCCCCATTAGACACCTTTTTAAAAGTGTTATGAGTACATGCCTGCAGTACATGAAGTTTACATTCACCTTAGGAGTAGTTTCATGTACCTATCTTTTTTTCTTTATGTACCTCACATATCTTGATTCTTTTTATTCTTTCCCTTCCCTTTCCCACCGAACTCCCTCCCTCTACCTCTGGATTCCCTTTCCTGATTTTCATTATTATTTTTTTTTTCTTAGTTCATGTTTGCACCATGTAATGATTAAATTCACTGTGGGTATTTGGTGCATCATGCATCTTGAATCCATTTAGACCCCTCAACCTCAGTTTCTTGGACCCTTTCTCATTATGCAAAAAATCTATATCCCTAATTCATCAATCTTTTATTTTACTCTTTATGTGTACTTCTCATTACTCAATGAGGGAAACTTTATGGATAGTTAAGCTTGTGTGATGACTTATTTCACTTAATATTATGTTCTCAATGTGTATCTGTTTTCCTTTTTTTTTGTACTGGGGATCGAACTCATGATGTGGCACATGCCAGGCAGGTGCTTATGCTGCTCAGCTAACTCCCAGGCCCGGTATATTCATTTTTTAACAAATTCTAATTTATCTTCCATTATAATCTTTGACCTATCTCTCAAATGTGGATTTCTCTAAAGCAAGTACATTACCTGGTGTATTCTTTTCTACTAATTACATATTTTCTTCTTTTTTTCTTCTCATTCTATCTCCTCTATCTTTCTTCTTTTCTCCCCTTCTCTCAAGTTTTCTTGTTTGTACCAGCACCAGAAAAATCAGCACCAGAAAAACTCACACACAGTACTTAGTCGTGCTAGATGTGCAGGCTGACAGTTAAGAAGTGCAATTCTAAAGGTTTAATTTGATGATACCTACTATATAGGCGCTCATCTTAAATCCCAATTCAGAGAATAAAGAATTCAGTGCTGCAGAAAAAAGGTGTTAGCCATTATTCAATTGTAGTAGCATCTGAAAATTCAAGTAAGCAAGCCTAAGATTCAGAACCCATAAGTGCAACTAGATAAACAATATATATTTGGGTTATTCTAAGAATTACAATTTTGCAAGGTCCTGAGGTATTTAAAATTTTATAATTTTCTTAAGAGCAAAAATGCTCAAATGTGTCAGGCAAGCTGCCTTGCTGCCTCACTACAAAGCAGTTTCAGTGCAGCTGAGCAAACTCTCTGCCAAGTGGCTGGAAACTGGGAGGAAAGGAGAACTTGCCTGACCATCTGAGACCAGTTTTCACTCTCCAGTTTGTGTTCAAGTTCTACAAAGGTGATAAAATAACAGCTTCCCTCAGTAAACAGAAAATAAGCTAACTGCTCCACTAAAAGTCGTTTCCTATTTATCCATCATTTTGGAATCATTAAATTCAGAATCCATACTTAATAAGGAAACAATAGGCCAAGGCAGATAGGAAACAAGGAAAAAAGTCAAAAGTGCTTCACTTCAGACTGCCAATATAAAGTCTGATTCTCAAGCTTCAATTTGATTTCAGGCTGGCACAGCATAAATTATCTTTCAAGTTGTTATAGGCCACCTGCACTCTATTCCCTGGCAGATCTTCAAACCCTACACATTTCTTGCTAAGCCTTAGGATACACAGTCTTTCTACCTACCTCATTTTGTTCTTCCTCAGAGTAATTTCAAGTTATTTCCTCTAAACACTGTTACTGAGTGCACTCACTGCCCTAATTACTTCTTTAAGGGAATTGTCCAGTTTTAGCTGCAAGATGACATTTGCAGTACCTACAACCTGGCCTGATGAATACTACTTGCCAATAATGACTTTCCTAAAGACTAAATGTCCCACAATGACTTAAGAATCAGAACGGAAACCAAGCCCCTCATTGACTATGGGTCCCACCACTCACCCAGTTCAAGCCAGGCGCTGTCCACAGCTGCTTTCCCTCCCTGAAATGCTCTTTCCGTGCCCGAACTGATGCCTTAAGAACTCATCTGCCAAATCACTGTCAAGATGGGATGTTTTACGTCGATGCTCCTCCTCCAGGTTTCTCAATGACACTTCCACCTCCACATGTATCTGTCCCACAAGTGCTAGGTCTTCATCTGATGGTTCTGCAGGTATTTCTGGCCTTGTCAGTTCCTCTGTGTTTCCGCAGCGCCTAGGGCAACAAAAGAGCTGCACTTTCAGTTCTAAGACGTGGAAGTCAGGAAGGACAGCAGTGGCAATGGGGGTACCTCCTGGTCCTCAGCCTTTTCAACCTCTGGCCCTAACTCTACAACCTCGCCTATGTGCGTAGTCATAGATGGACTGCAGCACAGAAAAATAGTAACGCACGCAGAAAGAAAGCGCCCATACCGCGACAGTGTGGCTCACTTTCTGAGAAGTCGGCAGCGTCACACAATTGATACTGGGGATGTTTCCGTCAAGCAGGAGACGCAGAGGTGAAGGAGCCTATAGACCACGGGTAGCGCTGCCTGAGTCAGTACGGTGAGCTCACAGTGCTCCAGGACAGAGCGTTTGCCTGGCAGACTGGGTCCTCGCCCGCCCCCAAAGCACAGGGAGATTGCGCGCGGCGCTTAGGGCCTCACAAGCGGACAGTACTGCGCCTGCGCCAGGGCTTCAGGACGAACCTGGGGCTCCGACGGGCGGCTCAGCGCTGGAAATTCGTCGGGGAAGATGCTAGCATCGACTGCAGCTTGACATTCCAGACCTGCGTTGCTAAGTACCTAGCACATCCCGCAGTCCGAATCCGCCAGCGCGCTTCCGGGGTCACTTCCGCTTTCCGAAGACCCTCTTCCACCCCGCTGCATCCACTTCCGCCTCCCGACCTTCCCAGGCCGCTTCTCGGTCCCGCCCCCTCCTGGCTTCCGGCTCGCGCGGTACCCTCGCTTCCAGAGGTGTTGGGAAGTCCCGCCCCCAACACTGCGCGCCTTTCCAGGCTGAGACAGGAGCCCGCTCCTAAGGGTTCTGAGGTGAAGGCGCTCGCCGGCCTTGCCAAGCCTAATCTCTGCTTGTCTTGGGGTTTTGCGGTGAGGTAGGGGCTGTTGAGTCCTGCTTTCCCTTCTACGGTAAACCGGAAGCAGGGAAGACAATTTAGGGCGAGACCAAACTCATTTTGGATATCGTCGGTATTGACGAGAGAATGGGTATTTTGTGGTTTCTTCAAAAATGCAATATTCTGTGTAGATCCTGAATGTAAGGTAGGACTTTATAATTGGAACCCTCTTGGCACAGGAGCTGAGATTAGGGTTCCAGGGAGTCGCCGTCAGCCATGTAGCTGAGGTGCAGACAGACCTTAGCCGGCCACTCCCGATAGTCGGGAGAAAAAGCCGAATTTATTCCGGTTCCGCAGAGGGAATTTTTTTTATTTTTAATAGGAAAAGGAGAAATGTAGGTGCTCAGTATTCTGACAAGTAAAAAGGAGAAAGGGATGCGTAGGTTACAGGTGGTGACCCGCAGTGTTTGTTCTGCCTCAGAAACCTGGAGCCAAACCAGGGTCTAGTTGACTGCAGGTAAAGGGTTCAGCTCTCGGATCCTAATTTAGCAAGGGACATAGAAAATCATCCTCTTTGAGCCCTTTAGTCCCTTTAGTGTTGGTTGAAGCAGTGAGTTGAGCTTGCTGAGGCAGCCCTTGGGAGGGTGGCGGGGTCATGCTAGGCACCCGGCTTCACCCCGCGGGAGGCGTGCTGGAGTGTGGTCAGAGTGCAGGGATTGCACTGGGGTCGTCGTGTCCCTCGAAGTCAGTGGTTGACGTAGATAAAGTATGAATGAGAACTCTACAGACTTGCCTCCTTTAGGGACCGCGTTCCATTCCGCCACATGCATCAGTTTTATCATCACCAGAGGAATTGTTGGAAGCAAGTAGTCCTTAAAAGTGGGCCCCCCAAAAAGAATGCACTGAGAAATTTTTCTTGCCCTTTGACAACAAGTCTCATAAGACCTATGCCAAATCACTCCCTTCTGCATCAAAATAGGCAAATCATACATATTTTTGGATATCCAGATGAAACAAGCATGACGTTGCTTGTTTTGCCTGGATATCCAAAATTTGTCAGATAGCTAATTTTTCCTCAGTGTCAGACATTACAAAAATAATACATATATTGAAAACATTTCTCTTTTCAGTAAATAGTGTTTATTTGTACAGCATGCTTAGTGAATGTGCCTAAATACAATAGGCTATAGGGACTGCTCATTTTATGACTGAGTGCCTTTCCTGAGTGACTAGGTAATTAAATGAATTGGTCACTAAATGAGGAATTGCATATTATCTGTAAGTATGCAGAACAAAGAAATGGTCAGGAAACTCGATGTCTTTGTTTTTATTTGTATAACTTTTACATGAAGTACTGTAACGTGTAACAACATAAAACTAGAGTGGACTGTGCAGTGTAGTTAGCAAAAACTATAGTACTGTATAAACAAGGCATAGTATACCAAAAAGACATTGAGGCTTTATAAGCAGGATATTGAGAACTGTACCAAAAAAAAAAAAAAAAGATGAGTTGTCATGTCTAAAGAGTGTACCTGAATTGTAAGTTCAAACAGCTGTTAAATGGATAGGTCAATAAACAAGGCATAATCTCTATTTCTAATGAGAGGTATGGAATTAGCAAGGCATTGCATATGATGCAGAAGGAGGAGCCTAGTTTGGTAGTACTGGTAGGAAAAAGTCGTTAGAAGTATTTCCAGCTTACTATGAAATACTTGAATTAATCCACTATACTCAAAAAGGAAACTCATTTGATAAACACTGATTCTGAGAAAATAATCTGTTAGGTTTTCAGAGTGATGGAGAGCCTAGATGTGTGGTTTGCATCCTTAGGTTTGTTTATTATTGTGATCGAACTCTTTAAAATGTCTCCTAGTATCTTAAGAGGTAGGACTTTCTGAAGGTGATTTAATCCTTAGGAAACTAACTCTTCAATAGGTCAGCACACTGGTGACTTTATAGCTGATGGGGTATTAGGAAGTGGGTTAAGGTGAAAGAGCCAGGTCACTGGGGAATACCTTCAAAGAGTACAGACATGCCTTATTTAACGACACACCTGTCTAATGAGTATTCGAATTTATGACTCCACTTTTTTTGTACAGTTCTGTACACCTTGTTTATAGAGCCTAAATGTCTTCATGGTACAGTACACCATGTTTATGCAGTACTATAATTTTTGCTGATTACTCTACTGTACAGTGCTGTGGTTTGATGGTCTATTATACATTACCATACCATGGGCAGATGTTACACAAATAAAAGCAAAGTCATCAGGCTGGAGTTTCCTTTCACTATTTCTTTGTTCTGAATGTTGTAAAGAACATGCTATACACGATTTCTTACTGAGCAAGCAATTCATTTAATGACCTACTCCATGGGAGAAAACTCAGTCATTAAACAAGGATTGCAGTATCTCTCCTGGCCTTTCCAGCTGTCTCTGTTTCCAGGCCACCATGACGTGAGCAGCTTTCCTCCACCCTCCACCAGACCCTTTAGCTGTGAAGTTTATGCCCCAACCTGACCCACCTGAGGGTGAAAACTGTAAAACCAGGAGCCATAAACCTTAATCAAGGCTTTTTATCCTTTGAGTTGTTTATGGCAAGAATTGTGTTCCAAAAACAGAAAGCTGATGACCTTATCCACCATTGTATTGTGCTTCAGCCTTCCAAGCTTGGCAGCTGTGGCCAGCACAAACAGCCTTTGTAACCTTTGTTCTCTTGTGTGTGTGTAGCTGCCTGATACTGGCTTTAAAATAAATATAGAATCAAGTGTGGGGATGATACCATCTCGTCTTTTTTCATTTTTTTCCAAGTGTTTTATTAATTGCCTGTTCTCAGATAATTTACCAATAAGTTGGGGGAAATGTTTGAAAAGAGATTGAAAACTATCAAAAGAGACCAAAGTACATAACTAATTTGGAAGAGAGAGAAGTTTTATGGCTGGTAGAACTGTTAGGAAGATGGCACAAAAGGAGACATGTTTTTAGTGCTGACACTAACACGAAAGAAAACCCCCGCCCTTTTTTCTGCTCCTATTTAAGTAGTGCCTGGATCCATAGCTGTCTGAGTTTAACTGGAGGTAGCCAGGTATTTGCAGAAAGTTTTCAGTGGTGTTAGTGGTCTAAAATAATGACCATTTTTATTCCTTATTTCTTGTTATAAAGTACCCCTCATACATACTATGTATGCACCAATGATTAGATCTGCTTAATTGGAGTAGACTTTGAGAATAAACCACAGAAAGAATATTTAAATATCCTGAAAAGACAGGCATATGAAGACTGTAAGAGCTCAGCCAAGACCTGTGTTTCTTTCATTCAGTGTAATAGCATTATTGCTAACCAACAGAACAAAGGCTAATATACTGTAGTGTTAACATGTCAGTATCTAGTAACTCTTGTAACTGCTGGATAAATGTAGACTGTACTTTTTTAATTGCACTTTTGTAATTGCATATGAAATTATGCTTTTTCTTATCCTCTCTTACTGGACTCACTGTTAAATTTCTTTTCTCACTTTCCTCTATATCCTGTTCTCCACTCAGGAATCTTATTTTATTTTATTTTTTAACTGTACTGAGGGAAAACAAACCCCAGAGACTCATGCACTTTGCCTCTGACCTACACTCCCAGCCTTGCAGGCAGGGCTTGTCACTATCCTGGGGTTTTTTGAATTATGAAGTGATCTCACCAAACTGCACAATTATGTAAAACTCTTAGAACACTGCAGCAACATTTGTACAAAGAGTAGCAATTCTTAAAATGTGAAATTAAGACTGGCCCCTGTACAGGCAAAACTGAGAGACTGAGGACTAAATTGAACCAAAGAGAAAAAAAGTAAAATTCCATGTGTACTCCAGTTTGGAGTTTGAGATTGAACCCTTTTAAGTGTCCTTCCTGCTGTTTGCGTCCTGTGAACATGTGTATGTATGTGCTTTTCCTGAGCTGTAGTGTCTTTCATAAGGTCCTCAGTCATTGGCATACACAGCATCACATTGGGTAAGGACGCAAATTTCGGTCCCTACTTGCAAATACTTTATAGCAAGCACATGATGTTTATGTCATACTCTGAAAAACAATGAATAATGATAGTTCTTACACCTCAAGTGTCCCCTTCTGAACAAAAGATGCTTCTACTAATTTACATACTTGAACCCTTATGATAAGATCTTATTAAAATTTCATTATTAACATTTGATTTTCATGAATGCTATTTACGAACCTGCAATGAACTTTTTTAAGGGGCTTTTATTCTTGAGTGCAAAGCACCATTTAACTTTTTAAACAACACTAGGGAATGGGAAAAGAGCAAAAAACAATCTGGATACAAAGTTTTCTCCAGTATTTTTTACAAAATTTATGAAGGCAATGCTTAACCATTTTGGGTTGTGTCCCTCAATGCTTAAGTAGCTTTCGGTCATAACAGGTCCAGCTTAACTTCCACAGGGAAGAGGGCTCAGTGTCATGAAACAATTCTCATCAAATTGAGCAATATCAGAGATTAGAAAAGAGTGACTTTCAGGCTAAATGCATTTAGAGTTCATAATGCAGTCTAATCTGTCATCTCTTTAGGTAAAAGTTCTAATTAAAAAAATTAGAACTTTGACAACAGTTAAAAGCTTACAAGCAGATGTAATACAAGCAGCTGTGCATGGTGGTTCATGCCTATAATCCCAGCTCTCAATAGGCTGAAATAGGAGGATCTCTTCTACTTTGAGGCCAGCTTGGGATACATAGTGAGTTTAGGACTACCCAGGTCTACATACCAAGACTGTCTCAAAAACCAGAACAAACTACAAACCCAAAAAACTAAGAAAACAAACAAAAAATACAGTTTGCATAGGAGATTTGAACTAGAAAATTGTGACAAATTAACTAAAGAAAATCAATTCAATGTGAAACGTTTCTATAAACCAATATAAACTACCTTTTATGAGAAAGTATATCATTTATTTATGCCTATACCAAAAATTAAAGTCTAGTGACAGAATTTTTTTCTAAATACAACTGCAAAATTTTTGAATATACAAAAATTAAAGTATGTTACCAACTAAAAAAAATTCACATAATAAAGACTCAGTCATTGCTGGGGTAAATGAATGACTTTTGCAACTTAAGGGTGGAGAGGTTTATTTTAGTTTATGAAATTTTATTCCTTGTTAAGGAGATTCAGATGAAGAAAATGGCATGACATAAGTGTCATATGTGCCTACTATGGGAGAAACCTGCTTATGTCGTGGCCAGGAAGCTATGAGAGAAGGGAGGAGCTCAGGAAAAAGCTGTATCCTTTTCAGGTATGTCCTCGCTTCCAACCATGTCCCACCTCCTTATAGTACAATTAACCCTAAACTCATCAGTGGACTAATCCACTGATGAGTATAGCACCCCCACAGATCCATTGCCATGATCCAATTTAGACACATGAGATTTTAGGGAAAAAGTTCAGGTCCAAACCATAATGTATTTATAGGGTACAGTATGACTTTTTTTTTTTTTTTTTGTCTTTTTCATTTTTATCGGTACCGGGGATCGAACTCACGACCGCCTGCTTGCAAGGCAGGTGCTTATGCCGCTGAGCTAAATCCCCAGCCCCCACAGTATGACATTTTTATGCATTTATGCAATGTGTAATCATATGTTGTCATACATAATTTTTTGTTGACAGCATTCAAAATATTATTTTAAAATATTAAATTAACTGTTGTTAACCATAGTTTTCCTTGTCTGACTCCTTATCCCAATTAACCATCCTGGCTCCACCTCTAAGAGAGTATTTTAAATAAAATCATCTTAGTTACTGTCTCCTCCCAGAAACACAGTACCCAGTACCCACAGTTTAAGGATATATAGGTTTATTTTGATTTGGTTTGTAGAGGTTTCAGTTCACAGTGACCTAACTCCAGGATATGGCAGCCTGGTAGAGGAGAAATAGTGCATAGGTTGGCAGAGGGAAGCAAAGAGCTATCAAGGGAGGAGGGGAATAGACCCTTCTAGGTCTTGCCCTCCACCAAGCTTTACCTCTTGACATCACATTTGCCTATAAACTCAGTGCCCTAATCCACTGATGAATATCACAGTCCCATGATCCAGTCACCTCCCAAAAGACCCCCACCCCGTGAGTACAAGAGGCTTGCGGGACATCTAGATACAAATTATAACAGCATCTCTTAATAGTTTTTGAATTTTAATACTCAAAGTGGAAAATGAAAGATCTCTTCTTTGGGATAAGAAGTACACAAAAGATAGAGAAGTTATACAGTTATTAAGGGCAGTAAAAGTAGGGAAAGATACACTCTGCAGAGTGCAGAATAGACCACTGAAAGAGCTTATAGTGGCAGTGATAGATCTCAATGGCTACTTATCATTTGATAAAGATCTTGATAGATAAAAAAAATTTAAATATATTATAGATATACTATAAAGTTTTTTCAAGTAATGAAGAGACATAGTTTATGTCTGTGGCCCCCAGGCCTCATAAGTTTGCATTGTGCATTTGTGATGCTTCATTGTCTAGTGCTTGGATTGACAGTGTCAGTGCTCCACCCACATAGGGGTGGAGCCAGGATGTGTTGTAATGGCCGGAAGAAGGTGTATCTTGCTCTGTGCTGGTTCCTGCTTGTTGTTTGCCGCCACCATGAACTGCGGCCCAGCCATGCCCGCCCGCCTTGGAGCCAACTGAGTGTGGACTGAAACCTCCAAAAACTGTAAGAAATAAACTTTTCCTTTCCCAACTTTGGGCTTCAGGTGTTTTGTCTCAGCAAGTAAAAAGTAACTAAGACATGAAGTATGGGAAAATTGAAGGAGTTATTGTGCCATTTTGGAAGAGACAGATGTCACATCATGTGCTTTAAGGTTAAAAAAACAGAGCCAGAGATAACCAGATCAATGAAAAGAACTGAAATTATACAGTAGAATTTCCTAATGTTATTCTTTGCCTCCCCTAGAAACTGACCTACAGGCAGTTAATTGAAAGTCAAAGCTGAGGCAATACAGGAATGTGAAGAAAGTTCTAAGTGAGCTTCCCTAATTGCCCAAAAAAGCCTATGCTCTTTGTAAACTCTAGAAATCTGTGTAAAAATACAGATAAAACAACTTCATCCAGGGAATGATGTAACTTGGATACACGCCGTATTACTGAACAATATGGTAAATGTTTCACTTTTTAAAAAGTGATTATAATAAAGAACACATTGCCATTAACATTTCTCAAGATACTACTCTTCGCTTCAAAACACACTCACCTCATGTTTTTGCCAATTTCTGAAGCAGTTCTGACAATTCCCTTTCCTGAGTGTTTCATTGTTACAGAGTTGTGGCTGCCTCAATGCCCTGAGTTGGGAAGAAACAGAAGTCTAACAGTACCAGTTCTGGTGAATAAGGTAGATGAGGACTGATATACAAAAATAATACAGAATATGTTCATATGGAAACCAGAGGTTAAATGGTTAGGATTAGTGGCCCTTGATAAGAGGAAGATTAGAGCAAGCATATCAGTGAGATGTAATCTTCAAAGTGGAGTAGCATAGAGCTTAGGAACTGATTGAAATGAAATAAATGATTTAGAAATACGGAGCTTGTCACTGACTTGTAATAGTTGATAACAAAAGGAAGAATAACATTCTGACTTTAGTATAAAAGTTATAAAGCAAAAAAGATATGGGATATTTGAAACTGGGAGGTAGTGTGTGAAAGATTAGAGGAAGATTTTCAAAATTTTGTGCCACATGTTAAAGTTACTTTGACATTCAACTCAGAGATGTCATCCATCTTAGTATTGCCTAAAGTGTCCCAACACCTCTCTTAGATAAAACATACTTGTTTCTATATGGGAGAAATGTTTCATCAAAACAGAGTATTCAAATGGGTGAGCAGTAAGTTCTCAGTTCATTGCCAGTCCAGTTCTATAAATGGGAGTTTATTATAATATTTAAACTTATGATACAGATAAGGAATCTTTGAGAAATGATTGAAACTTCAGCATATTTTTAATTTTAAAATGAAAAAAGAACAAAAACAATGATACACAATTTCAAAACAATATAATAGGAGATTAACAATGGTTAATATATTACATATGATTATTCACAAAGCATTTGCTCAGATTACCAGATATAGGCATGAGAAGTGATCAAACAATGAAAGCACAAGCTGTTGTGTTTGGTGAACTAATAGAGGTTAATAGTATAATTATCTATCATTTTGTGTATATATATGTATATGATTTCCCCCTTCTTTCTTTTAAAAAATATATTTGATGGCATCAGAAAGAATAAAACTGTGTGCTAGGCTAGAATATTTCCATGCGAATTCCCATGTTATAATCTTGATCCATAATTTTGTAGTGTTGAGAGGTGAGACTCTTGTTTTGTTTTGTTTTCCCCAGTACTGGAGGTTGGAGCTACATCCTCAGTGTTCCACCCTCTTTTGAGACATGAGACATAAATAACTTGTGGATTCACAGATTAAATTTTAGTCTTTATGTGATAAATATACAACTTCTGAATCCATTTACACATGTTACTTCTAACCATAGCTTTTGGGCACAAAATACAATCATGTAAAGAATAAAGACAAATAACTTTAAAATGTTGTTATGCAATAATTACACAATATGGCTTAGGATGACAAAATCACAGTAGTAGTTAAAACTGAAAATTTCAGTTGATCATCATTGTGTACTACAGGAGTTATTTACTAGAGTGATTGTTGCGAGTGTCTAGTGCACTCTGAACCCCAGGAAGAGGCACACACACACACCATGTCGGGACACCGGTGGTGAGAAAAGAAGCAGCAGAGAGAAACAGCAATTGCAACTGCACACCAAGTCTTTATTTCAGGGCTCTTATGTAGTAAACCAGGTCAACTCACAGAGCACAGGCAATTATCTTGAAAAACATTCTTTGTAACAAGATTTGTGACCAACTACAATGTTTCTCTCTAAGTTAAACAAACAAAAACAGTTCTTCTAGCCACACTAACCCAGGAGGAATCCCATTAGCCCAAGAATGCTTTTAATTATGTTTGTTCTTTCTAGCCACCTGAAGGTCGGCCACCACCTCATGACTCTGCAAACAAAGCCAAGTACAGTATGGGCTCAGAGGGGGGAACATGTTCCCTCACTGGGGTCGGGCCTTCCCATCCCGTCTCTGTCCTGCATACCGGGGGCTATTGTTTATTGCAGGTCACGAGGGGGCCAGAGCCTCAAAGTAATTCTTCATCCTCCACAAGTGATCATTTCCTAACATTTTTAAGAAAGTGTATTTTTGTTCTATACCTTAGTTTTTAAAGGATTCAATGAAGCTGGCTTTCTGCACACACTTCTCTATGAAGGCCTGTAGCATGTTAAACTGGAGAATAGAGAAAGACAGAACTGATCCCCCAACAGCAATAAAGTCAGCTTCTTTCAAAGGCCTGTTTGTCTGACCTTCCCATGTTTAGTAAAGCCACAAAATAACAGAGAGAAATTCATTAATAACACTGGCAGGTTTATGCAGCAATGGCTAAAGGTGGAAATGAGATAAATTTTGGAGAGAACATGAATCAGTGAAACTTTTCCACATTTTTTATGTGAAATATTTAGATGGTATATATATATATATTCTTAATCTGCTCTCGGCTATAGCAAAAGTTAATTTCCATTATATAAGACTTGTGAGTTGATCTGTCTCTGTCCTGGATGGCAAAGTTTTATCCTGGTATTCTTGACTGGCTTGCAATTATGAAGTGAACATGTCTTTTTGCCTTATCTTGAGCAGATGGAATGAGTTGTGCAAAGTACATGTGCTTCATTTCCTCTTGTGTATGAAGGAGGTTTTATAGCCATCATGTAGAGTACCTAGGTGCAATGCAAAGGAAATTCAAGCTTCTGGAAGAAAGCAAATAAAAACTTTAGGGTGCATGAGGGAGACAAAGGTCAGACTCAACACAAAAGTATTCTTCAGCAGGTCTGAAGGAGAGAAACTTCTCCCATGAAGGAGCTAATGAATTCTGAGTAGCAGGAAGTAGATTACTGGCATAACTTCTGTGCTTTATTAAATAGAGAATAAGCACATTGCTGATTATTCATTCCCAGCTGTTGTTGACCAGCAGCAATGAGAAAAGCCCCCTTCACACTTCTTAACAGTAGTAGTCTGATCTTAGGTGTTTGTTATTTGTTTCTTCAGGCATGATTTCTTTGCTAAGTAAAGCCAGCTTCCTCAAAATGCAGGTCACTCAGCTTTAAGTATTGGTCTCCATATTCTCTTTAGTGTATGCACAAAGCCAAGTCCTACATGGGGAGGCTTTCCTTCTCCTCTACTGGAAGCTTCTCACTGTGTGGTCTGCAGAGATCAAAAGGTTGCCGAAGGTTAGAAGGGATGCCAAGCTGGGTGAGAGGTGGCTGAGGGTTGGCCTGGTACCTGGCCTGTGTGCTGGGGTGGGAGTGAAGGGAGAAGGACTTCAAGGGAGTGGCTTTGGTGACACATTTAGTGGAAGCTGAGATGTTGTAGGAGAACTCTGAGCCACAGGATGGCCAGAAGGTGTGTTTCCTGGTTTAGGGGGTTCTGAGGTAGGATTTTTAACAGCAGGGTGCACAGTGTGGGGGCCAGGGCCAGTGACACTGTTGGCTGAGCCAAGCCAGAGCTGACGGGAGCCAGCCCCTGACTGGGCCTCATTCTGGCCTATGATCACATCACTGCTGTTTCTTCTTCAAGTAGTGACAGCTGAAGACATGGAGTCCTTGGGTTTTAGAGGTCTGCTATCATGCAGATTTGGCCTTTGCTCCATTATGCCTGTGGTGGAGGGGATGGTTGCATTCTCTGAGGTGCTTTCAGTCTGAGAGCCCTGGGAGGAGGACTTTAGGCCTATGGGACTGAGGCACTGCCATCTGAGTGGTGGCTGGACAGCAAGGATGTGTGCTTGCTGCGGGGTCCCAAAGTCCCTGAGCTTCACACCAAAGCTCTCCTCCTCCACCAGGGCTCCTTTCATCACAGCCTCCATACTACCTGTTGCTTACTCTTCTGTGTTACTGAGTTTGAGACATTTCCAGAGTAGGACGAGTGATTAGACTTTGGGGTGGCATGAGATACAAATTCATCTAGTGCCTTATATCCCCACTCTTGAGGGAAGAATCAGTTGGTTGCTAAAAAACGGGTTGTATCACTGCAACCACATGGATGGACCTGGCTGCTGCCATGTCAGCAGACCTTCTTCTGCTTTTGGCCCATTGTAAGTTAAGGCCTTATATATGATATTGATGGGAGTGTTCTTATGAATGTCATTTGTCTGAGCAAGCTTTACAAGAAGATTTTTTTTACTGTAAAGAGAATAAAACCCAACAAAACCTAACAGAATAAATCCAATCAAAACAAAGCAGTGAAACTGGTACAGAACTTCAGAGAAAAATACTAGGAAAACAACAATGGCTACCATAGTACATCTGTTATCTTCGCAAAACTTGTCCCTTACTGCAGATATAGTAAAATTATACCAAAATAAAAAAGAATAAAACCAATCAAAACAGAATACTGAATAAAGCAAAACAATAAATTGGAACAAAACAAAATATAATAATATTGGACTTTACAAACAAGACCAAAAGAAAGCCCCATTATTTGCTACATTGCATACCATATCGTCCCAATAGATGCTCAGACTACCACTGGCCTTAGTCCTGTAAAGTCAGTTAAACAATACAAACATTTAGTTGTTTTTATACCTCAGTTAC